CCCCCCCCCCCCCACAGAGGGCAACAGAAATTCAGAGCCAAGGGGGGGTCCAAAAGGAGACAATTTCCGAGGGGGTAGGGAGAGGCCTCTTGAGGCCTTTTTTTGGGGGGGGGGCTCAAGTAAGATTAGTGAGTTATTAAAAAACTAACAGCTGTTCTGTTGAGCAAACTATCAGTTATTTTACTGTTAATCAATATTTCAAAGCAAACATTACTGTTTTCATCGATGATCTTTTCTGTTCAGTCGGCTGAGTGCTTTTTTCATGGCTTCAACGATAGCTTATGTCACACGATTGTCACTGGCTCATTACTAACTTGGATATATCTATCCATCTGTTGCTTTGTTTATATATTGTCAGTGGTATTCACTGTAATGTGGTCATATTCTGAGAAGCCTTCTTCTAACATGTTTTTAACTGAAAGGAAGTAATTGAAGTTCACAGCTTTAGAGATGGCATCACTTGTGTCGTGTGTACCATCAATAATTAACTAAGAAAGACCTCTACCAGGCAAAAAATCGAAATTATTTGACACTGTATTAACATATATAAAGATTTTTCTCCCTTTATTGCAGAAACAATATTATTATCTTTTGCATAAAAGTATCATGCAACGGCATTTTTGGGGGAAATATTCTTTCCAGGGGGTGCCCAACCAAGTTACAAAATTATGGAAATTCCAGAGGTTGGGAGGGTATGACAAGCACCCCCCTGGAATGAAAATTCCAGGGGGGTGGGAGGTCTAAAATAAAAGTGCCCTCTGTGGGGGGTATGGATATTTTTTGGAACTACACAACAAAGGGGACAGCAAGCATTTTGCTGCAAAATTTTGGTATAAAATACCTCTCAATGTGGACAATAGATATGTATTCTTTGCACAATTGGTGGATTATGGTCTGGACATTTTATATGAATAATTTGATCTCTAACATAGCAACGCCACAATATCAAACTGTTCTACTCATAACATCAAAAGGTATTGTTTATTGTGCAATTATCTGACATCTTAGGTTTTTGTAGTGTTAAGTTACACCACCTCTCTTCAAGGCGCAAAGCTGGAGCATATCCTATCATAGGTGAAGCCCAGCTTCTTTGACTTTGCAACAGCCTCAGCAGTAAGTTCTCAAGTTATAAGCTCAGTAGCCCATGAAGCCTAACCATGTTTTATACCTGAATGAACTAAAATTGAGGTGATTATAACAACCCAAAGTAACTTATTTTCAGCTTTTTCTTTCTTTTTTGTTGTCATTTAAGCTATTTCCTAGTAAAGTACCTATGCAAAGTTACATGCATCAGCTGTCATATTCAAACTCCTCCTGGCAAATCACAGAAGAAAAGTTGTGCCAAATAGCAGAAACATTCCATAATGCAGATGAAGAAAAGAAAGGTTTCTTAACAAGTGAGGATCTTAAAGTTGCATTTGTCTCCCTCTTCGGTTACAAGCCTTCAAAGAGCGAAGTTCAGCAGCTTATGGCCAAGTTTCAGAAACCGGGATCATCGATTAATGATCAGTTGCCAGGCTCCAGCAAAACGTTCGTTAACACCCAAACTGGTATGACCTTAGAAAATTTCACAGAAATTGCAAAAATCAAGATTTTGGCTGAAGATACTGATGATGAGATCCGGCAGATGTTTATTGCATTTGACACCAAATGTCAAGGTTTCATCACTCTGGACATTGCTAAAAAGATTTTTCTACAAGTTGCTCCATTTTTGGACTCAGTTACAGTGGAGAAGTTGTTTCGAGAAGCTGATACAGATCGAGATGGAAGAGTTAGTTATAGAGATTTTGAATTCATAATGAAATACAGCATGGATGACGAGACCTAAAATAATGATTATGTTGTCTTGTATCATTAGGGAAAATATAGAGAAACTTTTTATACAATATTCAGATTTTTTTCAGCATAGTAAAGAGTAAAAGAGAAAATGTAATATCCTAATTTTGAAAGTTCCAAGTTTGGCAAAAGATACCATTATTTCCACCAAAGAACTAATAAGCGAGTCACTGCCCTTGATGCTGGGATGTAGTTCTGCATGCTTTTCAAATGGCCACAAATTGCAATAACAACTGGCCATTCATATGATCTAGCATAATCTGCATAATCCAAAACAACTGCATTTTCCCCATCTCCAATACGACAAACTGGGATTCCTTCCTGAGTCATAAAGGGAGAGAGATCATCAATCCACCGTGGAGCGGCGACCAGGATAGCAACTTTACGATAGAAAAAAAATCCATTCTCTTCCTTTGCCCATTCATTGATCTCATTCTTGATGATCTTAGAACAGTCGACAAATCGTTCTTCACGTGATCCATAACTTATTTTCCCCTCTACAATGACTTGAGGTCCACAAACATGGTGGCCAAGATAGACCGGATGATGCCAGTATTGTTTAGGGAATTCAGTTTCTCCAGATTGTTCACCAAACGAAAACTTCAGGTAACGCTGCAAAAAGTCATAAACCTCTGATGTGCATCTCATGACAGTTGTGAGGCTTGGTGCATGGATAAAGTTTTGGCTTTCACATAGCTCGGTGAGAAAGCTTGGAACATTCACGTTAGTTCGCTTCATTCCAAACAGCTCATTAACAAACAGCATCTGATTGAAGTCGTAGGAAATCCACTGATAGAATGAGGTACTCTGAAAACGAACCAAGAATTCTCTGATTGTGCCTAGTAATGTTTCATTTGTGAGAAGCAGTATCTGAAATTCATCAACAAAAACATGGACAGGTTTCACTGACATTTCTAAGGCCCGAGAGAGAAAAGTACTGATGTGGTCAAACGTTACAATGGTAACCATTCCATTGGCAATTTCGTTCCTTGTGAAGAATTCCTTGTAGAGCTTATCAAGAGGCGGGGGTACCATAATAAGTACCATTTCATTCTTCTTCGCACATTCAAGCGCTTTGTATTGGAGTAGAATCGTCTTTCCACTTCCTGGGGCGCCACAAAAGAGCTGGTGTAATGGTCCTTCCCATATGCCCAGTTGCTCCATGTTTAAGAACACGAACTGTTTTGCCAGAATTCTCAGACCTGTGTCATCAGCTGGCCTGACTACCACAGGACACCCACTAGCTCCCTTTCTTGTCATCTTGGCGTGGCTTCTTTCAAGAAAGCTTTGCTCATCAATGGTTTTAAACACTCCACTGAGTATTTGGGTTGTGGCGCTTATTGCACTTCTCTGACCTACAAATACGGAAATCAAGTTCAATAGCTTCTCTCTTTCTTCTTCAAAAGACCTCTTGGTGAAATGCTGTTTCCACCACATCTCGAAATGTTGTAAATTGCCATCTTCGTCGTCGTCTGTCAAACCAAGATGAATTTTTCGGAGGTCAATAAAATCATTAGCACTACGTCCCTCATCGACGACGTTTGGCATTGCAATGACTCTTTTGACAGGAATGTCTAAGTCCTTTGCTGTCAAAAGTGCTTGAACGAATTTTTCTCCAACTTGAAGCTGTCTTTTCGCATCAAGATACCGATTTGTTTTGAACTTTTCTGTGGCTTTCACTTCGATGAGTATGACACCAATACGCCGGTGTATGATGAGAAAATCTATTTCTCGAGAGAGATCTGTTTCGCTGAGATCGGCAAACAGAGATTGAACATATTCGCTTGGGAGGTTTTGTAGGAGGACTTGATCGATGAATTCTTGAAATTCAAATTTCGTTATGACGAGCATTGGCTGATTCGTTTCTCTCCCATATTTATCAAGGGCCCTAAAGATCCGTAACTCGGCTGAATCTCCCTTGATGTCCAATTCCTCAGACTTGCTAAGTCCTACAGCACCGGATGCTGCACCGGTTGGGGCTATATAACGGAATGGAAATGCTGGAGGGAACATGTATGTTCGATCACTTGTCTTCCAGTCAGGCCAGAGTCTGTTGAGGTATTCTTCACAAGCTTCCTCGAAAATACAAAAGTACTTGCCCGCTGAATCCTTCACTACATACGGCGAAGCCATTGCTGCACCAAACGCGGAAGTAATGTACGTGTTTGCTTTGCTACCGCGCCTTAGTCCAAAGGAATATTTTTTGGCCATGTCTCAAAAGGACTGGAAACAAACAAATTCAAGAATTTGATTGACCGCGGTCTAGATTTTCTAGAGCGATCTTGTTGTAAACAGTCGTCCTCAAAAAGTTACAAACAAAGAATATGAAAAAATTGGCTTGTTTGTACTACGAAAGCCGAGGAGGGTCTTCCGACTTCTGACTTCCGACTTCCGATTTCCAACTTCCGACTTCCCACTTCCAACTTCCCACTTCTAACTTCCGACTTCCGACTTCCGACTTGACTCCTCTGTCAGGCTCGCCTGCCGCTCGATCCGCCACGCGGGTATTAATGCTCAAGGTCAAGGCTCAGTAGAAAGAACGGCTGTACCGTTCTAGCCACAAAAGAGAACAACTAAAGTTGCTGTTGTAAAAGCAACGAAGCACAGAGTCAACCAGGCAACTGATGAGGTTCGCTTGGGGAACCAAAACCATGGTCTTGCCTGATCAACAGTGTTAACAAAACAGTCCAAGCACTGTTAAGCTTATTAGAAACCTATAACCAACGAAAGAAATACACGCTCCAGTCAAAAGAATCACATTTCCTTTAGAAAAACACTAAGCTGGAATCTACTGAGTCGCAATGCATTCGCCATAGTTGATGCAGCTTCATTTTAAGGTGCACTTTATTCTTATCACTTTGGATCTGTAAATCACTATCCGTGATAATTTAGACAATTTAACATCCTGCAAAGAAAACGAATGAGCTGGGCCCAGAGTGATACAGCATTGCATATTCACGGACTATAGTTATTCAGATCCAGAAGGCACTGTGGAGAAAATTAGAGCCCTTACTGGGCAGTAATAAAAAGCTTTAAAGAATATGCTCTTGAATCAGAGGGCAAATCCTGCCGACCAGAAACAAAAATCACAGTAAATCGATATGTATGCCATGACCTCTCAATGTGAAATAGGCGGGTTAACCAGAACCTTCTAGAGCATAATC